ACTCCAAAATATATGATAGTGGTCTGCCAGCTGTTCTCCACGCTTCTGCCAACACAAACCAGTCGTTTCACCTGTGTGTGCATACTTTAACATGGGGGTTATAAAATATCTTTATAGGTTCTGCCAGCAGAATGCTCTCCAAGCACCTGAGCTGGTGGAGGTCAACTGCATCAGACACAGTCTGCCAATCATCCTCTGAAATGGAAAACTCAGACTCTTTCTCATACTTGTATTTCGATTTATTACTTGCATGTTTTTTCCACTGACTTGATATATGAATATAATCTTGAAACAAGTCTCTTATTTTTGTTAATAAATTATTAAATTGGCGTCCTTTGTATTTCTGAATTTTATCTTGTCATTAGAGGAAATGTTAATGTGGAAGTGTGAATATTATCCCATCTAGGTTTCCTAGATTTTCGGTAAGCTATGTAATCATCCACGTGATGAGACTGAACCGTAGGAAGTTATACCATTTCTACTATTTAAACCTCTAATCGATTATTCCTGGTGTGAAATAATTTCATTTTAGTATTAAACCTGAGTGGATAGGCCATACCCTGCCTATCTCTGAATTCCTCATTAACCCTCTGCAGCTTGCCTTCACTTCTGTCGGTGTGTTATTTTAGCCAAACCTAGTGGAGAGCCACTTCTGGAAAGCTTCTGAAACACGCTGAAGTGGAATTTCAAGCATCCACCATCAGCTCCAGGAGACTCTTCCAAGCTGCAATTCCACAATGCAGCCACGCTCGCCAGGATTCAGATAACAATCATTCGTTGTATATACTCAATCATTTGTCTGTTTTGAACAAGCAGCCATTTATAAACAGCATGCATGCAAGCATACTGGGGGGTCCAGTACTGGCTCAAAATTGCATTAATTAAAAGCTAGAATCACAAAACACTTGCATTCCCGTTCTTTTACTGGAAATATTTCCAATTCAAAACTAGGTCTTGTTTTCCAGCCTTAGTCTTATTGTGTAACCCCCTCCACTCTCAACACCACTTACAACAACACACACATACACACAGCCTCTGTTTCCTTTTCACCAAGCCCACAGCGTAAACGCTGTAAATAAGCAGGCTCCTATCGACACCGGAGGCAGGCTGCTATAATAAAACTATTCCAGTTTTTATTGAGGTGTAAGCTCTGTTGGCGTGAGTAAACAGATTCTCCCTGGCATCAGCACTTCTCCCCAGTGCACAAACCCTGCGTCTAAGCAACTGTGAGCTTAGTAACAGTTGCCATGGAGACACATTCTTGTCAGCTTGGCCTGCATCGAGGGTCAAAGGAGCGAGAGCGGCGGCGAGATATTGTGATATGTGACAGAAATGATGATATCAAGGTTGATACAGTGCTGTGTAATGCACATTAGATAGAAACAACACAAAGAGGGAATATCAGAGATAATGAAAGAAGAGCAGCAGGTCCACTGTGGCCTCCATGAAATATTCTATGACTTGTCTTTGACTTTCCTCAACTTCATCAGAGCTTTCATTTATTCCCTCCAGGTTCATTAACGCTGTTCTTCAACTCAGCAGAAAATGTTATAAAATTACAAGCAAGTTTCAACACTTTCTGTCTGGGAAAACTAGAAGGAAGCCAACTAACATGTGAAATACATTCTGGTGTTTTGGGTCTGCGCTGGACTTGGATGTTATATCGTTCTGGATGTCGACCAGCAAGCCGCAGCATCTACTGCGGGAGGAATTCTGGACTACAGTCTAGACAGGCTTGGCTGGCCCAGGAAGAAACGGCACAGCCAGGCACGAGGCGCGATTACCCACACACACATTCACTGTTTTTCACACTTTACTACAGTCTGTCACTCTGAGCCGAAGCCAAAACGAGTGGCCAAGGTAAGAGAGGAGGAAAAAAGAGAGGGGAAACTACTTGGAAGTTAATAACAGGAACACAATGCTGCACTCATGCCGTCCTCCTCAGCTGAGGACAGGATTTAAGAAAGATGAAGAGAAGTTTTGAAGGATTCTTTTTTTCCCTGATGCTCAAAATACCTTTAATTTACCTGTTAGAGACAGAGCGGCACATTAGGTACTTTGCCTATGTGTTGCATGTGCTAAACTGCACAAATGTCAGGCTAACAAATCAATACAGATCCAGCTTTTTTTTTTTCAAATTATGCCTGTTGGGCCTGAAAAGGCAAGAAGAAAAAAAATCACACCAGCAATAAGTTTGAAATGACACATCAAGCCGAAGCTTCTTAGCAGTCACCTGCAAGTGATTAACAACAAGAAATTAGCACTCACTGTATAAAACCACGAGCCAACACCTTTAAAGCTCATGTGGAGATAAATTCATTTGTAAAAGAATCTATTTTGAGTTGCCTTGCTTTATGACATAGTGTGAAGGGTAAAATATACATTCAACTTCAAGTTTTCATAACCTTCAGCATGATTAGCGCAGCAGGCCTGGTAAACAATAAACTACAGTAGACTGAAAGATTGCACTAACTGCTACTGCATTGGTAGGAGTGGTAGAAGAAGCACAGCACAGCAATGACAGCAGGCCAAGCATGTCTGATAGTGAGAGCACCATGTCAGCCTCCAATGACAATTTAGTAACTACAGGGGGAGCCACTACAAAAGCACTAGAAGAGTAGATGGAGATAATTATTGTGGCGGAAAAGGTTTTAAGCAAGTGGTTAAAAGCTTGAAGCCTGATAGAAAGAGATTAGAAGATATTTTTCAGCTTTATTCTGTATCATTACTGTACATTAAGAGTTACAAGGTTAACTAAAGTGTTTAGCGGTTCTGTTATACTTTTACTTAACGTTTCCAGGGAAAACACTACCTAGGCTAGTTTTGTCCTTATATTTGACGTAGAATAGCAAATGTTTCTTTTTTATTCTCTGGGATTAATTCATGAATGATTTCATCAATAAAATGTATCTAATCAGCACTCTAATAATTACCACTAAGGCACACAACATACACACCTATTTAATTATTTAGCATTTATCTCATAGAGCAGTACTGGGAAAATTACCGCTCTACCTTTGTGCCATCATGTAACAAAATAAGCAGAAATATATGTCAGTGAGAGAAACCTGTGTTTTGTAGCTATTTTGAAATAAGTGACAATGCTTCTGTGGGCGCTCAGGAGTCAGCAGCACCCACAGAGATACTGCGAGGGAAAGAGGAAGAACAGTAATGTGGTCAATTAAAATTCAAGAATCCTTAACTGCAGTACTTGGTATTGTTACTTTGTTTTGTTGTTTTTTACTAATTGACCTCTACCTCAGTACTTGTATGTACCTCAGTATCATAAAGTGATATATTGTAGTTAACCAAGGCCACTGCAAAATTACTTCGCTGCTAACAATAACAGAGCTGTATGAGCCTGTTATTCAAAGCCCCTCGAATTTGCCATTTGTCAACTCTGTTAGGTCAAAATGAAGTGACCCATTGTTTTAAGGCATCCAGTGAGCTTGCAACTTTTGCAACAAAGACCATCAAGGCCTTAAGAGTATCTGCATGTGGGAAGTTCAGAACTGAAACTTAACTTTATAAACGAATGGGCACAGAAAGAGTCACGTAGAAAGCTGTGTGAAACAAAATACTTGATCTAAGAACTGTTTCCAGAGACGGCAATAACTCCAGGTTATGGATAAAAGCTTAACATTCATTCAGAAGTAATATTTTTATTGTAACTTAATGCTAACTTCTGAATGGTGTATTTTTCCAACCATGATAAAGGAGCACTCTACAAGAAACATTCAACTGTCAGCAGCAACACTTTGCACTGTGGGCTAAATTTACCTTTACTCAGCCTTCGTCACTTTAAGATTAACTTCATTTGTTTGATTATTTAAATGTAACCTGTTAAGTTTAGTCTTAGCTTCAAACTCATTAGCTGGGGTGGTCAGTCACCTGGCTAATATTAAAATAATAAGGGACAAGCAGAGAAAACGAGGACAACAGAGCACTATTTCCCAAAATACAAGAAGTGTGAACGCACTGTGTGAACAAATGTAACGTTAGAAGTTTGCACTGTGTCAAAAATAGCCTAATGTTTTCCTAAAGCCACAGACCAAAGTCACCAAGCAGCTCTACTGCAGACACCAACACACTTTCCATGTATAAGACACAGGCAGGCATGCACAGGAGCCACAGCAACTGCTCTATCGTAAATTCTTCTAGGAGGTTATGTGACCCCGTCACAGGTCATCAAGCAGTTTTATATGCATCACACCTGTCCACCTCTCCAACTGGTATCTTTGCAGACTGGTATCCTTGCAGACTGGTATCTTGTCTTTCAAGACACTCTGGGAGTATAAGCTGCACTTTTTCTTTGTTTGCAGATTTGTTTTTTCCCCTTACAAACTAGGTGAGCAGTCAAAGTAAAGGATTGGCTAATTACTTCTACAGGTAATCAATACGACTGTAAAATATCATCAAGTGATTTCACTTTCCCTAAGCCCCACAGTAAAATCTTCACATTGCTTGTCCTGTCCAATCATGAGTCTTACAGCCAATACAGATTACTTCCACATGTGGCGAAAGAAGGCATCGCGTCCATGTATTTGGAAAACTTCAAAAAGCAGATATGGCAGGTCCTACATGGCAAATAGCTGGTGACTCACAGTTTATCAAAAATATTTGTCAATTATTTTTCAGCTGAAAAACCAAAGAATTCAACTGACACATTGTTCCAGGTCAGAAACAGTGAAAGAGACACTTCTGATATGTTTGGAACAATTTTGGATCATTTTTTTATCCTGTGCACACATTTAGCCTCCATTTGCTTCTTGTTGAATGTTGAGACATTAATAAATATTAATGCTTGAGTCATGTTGAAATGACTAATAACATTTATTTTGATGGAAATGCAGTCGTTTGATTAATCCGATTTCTGAACTTTTCCTCTCCGAAATCTATTAGTCACCACAGAAGCTATGTTTAACAGGTGGATGAAACTGTTATTGAACTATCTTCATAATTTAGTTGGAGCCAGTAATCCAGTCCAGGGTGGATCCTACCTGAGACAGCCGGAGGTGTTCTTGAACACGGTGGTCCACTCTGCATCACGCGGCTTTGAGTCCTCATTGGGCTCATGCTCCCAACCCGAGTGGGGGATTATCACCTCGTTGGTCAGGGTTTGCAGGCCGTGGTTGATGATCACCATCTTCAGGGGTTCATAGGATGACAGATTCCACAAGGTTCCTGCAGGGGAGCACAGATGGGAGGAAAATGCAGAGACGAATTAAGAGGATAGCAATAAGTTGGTTAAAAAAAAGAGGATTATGAGAGGAGAAAGAGAGGATATACGAAGGAGGCGTATATACATGCACATATATCTGCAAAGAGAGAGAACATTTTAAAAAGAGATGGTGTGAGGGTGGTGTAGCTGACAATTTAAACACAAGAGAATGAAAGAAGGTGAAGCTTGACAGGAATGATGTAGCAAAACAGGCAAAAAAAAGAACAGAACAGAGAAACTGTGCACACAAACTGAAAGTGATGCGATTTAATAACAGCCGTATAACAGAAAAACAAAGGAGCCTACTGCCCAGGCTTTAAGACTGCAATCAGAAACACATTTAGTTTGGCAAAAAATATGTTTTAGAAAAATAATAGAAGACTGGGTGTTCATTATCCAGGCATGATACCAACGGACCATATTGCACTGTATAAACCCCCCCACTGTAATACTTTTATTATTCTTCCATGAGAACATAGCTGACTGCTACTTTGCTGTAATAAATACAAAGTTTACAGCAGCCGCATCGCTGTGATATTTCTATAATATCCTCATATGTCAACAGCAATATTAGGTTCACAGTGTTCTTACAGTACATCATGTTATTTCTCAGCTGTTGCACGTAATGTGCCGCTCGGATCTCATGTCCTGCAGATATTGTGTGTGTATTGGATCAGGATAAATGATCTGCTTCGGCTTTTCTATCCAACAGCACACACATGCACACCCCGTTTCAATCATCCCTGTCCTCCATTATCTTTCCCAAGAAATCCAAGCAGGAGAAAGAGCATTTTCTAGGTGGCTGCAAATCTCACTAACAGCCAGCCAATTTTATACTTCAGCAAAAGAAAAAAAAGTAAACTAAACTGAGCTGGGTATGTGCATCCCAGGGCTTCACAAAACAGAGGCAGGCACACAAAGAAAAGAGGAGGGGAATTTTTGGGAGCACAGCCAGACAGCCAAACCCACAGAAAAATAAAATGCCGTGTTAAAGCATCAAGCATCAGATGGGTTTTTCACTCAGACACATGGAAGCTGTGAAGCGAGGCAGCCAGTTTGAGGAGAGGAAAACACTTTAAAAGCAAAAAACCAAAACAAAACCCCCCCAAAACCTCGCTCAAGCCCATGTTGGACACGTTCCTGAGTTGTTGTTTTCATCAATCCAGCCCTCAGGTCTCTGTTTCTGCTTCTCATCACTTATCACACCCTTTATTTTCCTCTTTCACAATTTGGTCCTAAAACCCTGTGCCTATGCAGCATCAACTTAATCCATGAATGCAGGAAAAGCTCTTAGCAACTTGCATTTGCATTGTACTTGTGAACGTGCAAGTACAATGCTTATTCACTTCCGGGTTACGGTGGAAGGGAGGCATCAGCAAAAATCTATATGAGCCTTTTTAGTATGTTTTCTAAAGGAATGTATGGAGGTTTATCATCATCATCAGCTGTAGCTTCACAGCTATAGGTAACAACGCTGTTTACGGTGTCTAAGTCCCACCTTAGTTTGGCATTTTGTTTTTAAAGCCAAGTGACATCCAGAGCATCTAGCATGCCTCCATGAATGCAGAAACTGCAGCCGGATAAGTGCCGACTGTGTTGACGGATGAGCCAAATTTGCCAGCTGAACCACAGAAAGAAACTTTCCTTTTTTTTTCTCGAGAAAAAAAACGTAGCAGACACCTGTCCTTTTTTATTTCATACAATATCACCGGCTTCCTTGCGAGCATCCCGACCCCACCCCTCTCACTCCAATCTGGTCCACAGGACTAACAGCTGGGGGCTAAGATTAAGATTAAGCAAATATTTACACACTCGCACATGCCAAAGTGCTCAGAGACTCGCAGCTTTTGCACATATAAACGCATTCATATAGTTCTGTATTCACATGCGCCCAGAGCGTGCGACTCGCTCTCGTCCCATAAACAGGCCATTAGCAGAGCAGTGAAGCAGTCATACTTCCTGGCACACTTATTTAAAATGGTTTCTATACATTTTCCAGACGGTCAATATTTCCTCTGTTAAATCATGCTCTCCACTCTCAGCGGACAGATCTGAGCTAAAAATACTTCCAGTCCCTCTGATGTGGTTCTGCCTTGTTTGACCGTTTCCTTTGAAATGTTAAAAAAAACATAATGTAACTAAAACACTTAAGCGGCGCTCTTACAAAACAGTAAATCTTAATTTAGTTCATGACCTTCTTCCGCTCTGCTTTTCCATCACGCACTACCAAGTTAAGGAATCCCTGTGCGTGTGCGCGGGTGTGTCTGCAGCTGGATTGCTGGTGAGGAAGCGCGGTGTCGAGTTTAAAGTCAGTTGAATTTTTGGCGTCTCGCAGTTTCTAAATAAACCTCCACTGAATGTAGCATACATTTTTGCTGATGCTAACATGTCTGTGACATCGGCCACTGAAGTGGAAACACCGGAGCTCCACTCGCTCTGTTTTTTCAGTTGGTGACTAGACTAGACTTCCTGTGCGTCAGAGACCACCAGGGTGGGATGCTATTAGATGTGGAAGCTGGGGTGTGGCTCCACACAAGGGATATTGTGATTATTTCTTTCCTGGGAGGGAGGGTGCGTATCGTACGATCAGCCGTGACTTTACCTAAAACACTCCACCTGACTCACAGCTTGTTGGGAGCAGGTCACGTCCTGAGAGTAAACACAGCCTTACAGGCTAAATTCAGGGAAAAATATCCCATTGAGCATTAAATCACCAACGCTCAGGTAATTACATTGTAGAAAGAAAAGCATGTTTAATTTTGAGCTTCAGGTGTTTACTGTAAATTTCATACCTCTACAAATTCAATATTGATTTTTTTTTTTTTTTTAGACAGGCACTTTCATGGTACGTTTAACTTGGTGCAAAACAAGCTGAGATTATATTTTAGCATATGGATGTTCTTCCATCAGCAAAACTGAAGCTGTGATCGGAAGAAAATAAGTAAATAGTGCAGTGCTCGCAGCCGCAGGTGTGTTAGCATCAGCAGAGACAGATGTCACAGTCGGTGGAAAATCATTTATCATTTTATCTGAATTTTGGCCTCGTTATGAAGTCACAGTATCCCGTGGCACTATGTGAGTGTGAAACAGATACTGGCGCAGACGACGCTCACACAATTTAGCACTACCCAACAGGGTAGCATTTCCATCTCATCTGCTTTTTATTTTTCCCCACAGGGTCAATTGTGTCACTTTTCCCAAACAAACACATTCGAGCATCTGAGAGGAAATCTCCGCATCCAGGCATGAATCCAATTAAAAGACAAACGTGCACTTGTGGTGTCTGTACTTTGGTATGATGACAGCTAGCTAACATTCATGCCTGCCAGCCTGACAGCTTGATTACTGCCACTGTTGTGTCATTAGCATCAGCTTTACTCGTGACAAGCAAAATGTAACACGCAATTAACTCACAATGAGTGATGGGATCTTAAGAAAGGCAAAGAAAACTTCTCACTGTGCTGTTGGTGTCCTAACAGAAATAAGTGGTGCTAATTTATGACTTTTGCAACGTGCCACAGAGGAGGAAGAAACAGACGACACTTTAATAATATTCAGACAAAGTCTTGTTCATTCATTTCTATGATTCCAGCATCCAAGCCCGATGTGTATTCCCTGCTATAAGATAAATGGTGCATAATGCCCCTTATTTCAATGGTGCATACTTGTTTCTAGATTGCAGTCCATTTTTCAACTTGGCTGGAAGTGCATACGGCATACAGGCATCCCTGATCTGTCGTACCCAGGATGTTGAAAGACTGCTCTGTGCTTTAAAGTTACCAGATTCTTGTTCACCATACAAACTTTCTTTAGCTCCTTTGGTAGTTCACCGTCACCTTCAGTGCTCCAACTGAAACACTGCTCAGGCCGGTGGAATCAGTCAGCTCTGCACAGATCACATATGCCAGAGGGGAGGGAAAAGGCATGTCTTTGCCGTGGCTGTGATCCATCAAGTACGACAGGCATACAGCCCACTGACAGAATGTTATTTAAGATGACAGAGTGCTGTGGAAGTGACCGTCTCCATCCAGCATCCCGCCAGTGTTTCAGGCCAACAACTGTATCAGCTTTAGTCCATTTGCTGTCCTATGTCAGCTTGTCAGAGGTGGGCATGTTAGGGATGTACCGCTGTCTTGCAAGCCGGAGGCAGACACCATGCAATTGTCATGCCAAAAAGATCGGGTTCACTCATAAACACTCATGTGTGTGTGCTGGTTATTTGATGCCATTCACACCTAAATTTAACAGGCAACATGAACAATATACGCTGTAACCGGACTTCTCTTCACAGCTAGAAATGAAGAACGCTGCACTTAGTTTGGATAGAAACGTCAGCTGTCAAAAATGCACTGCTGAGCTAAGAGTTTCGGTTAATTATTGTATTGGCGCACGATACGGAGCCACTTTAGAGCTGCAGTCAATTTGCATTGATCTAAGCCAAACTGTCCAGGTGATCCAAACCCCGAAAAGTGCACAAGTTTGAGTTTTTTTGTCTAACTTCTGCCTGAACTTTCCACGAACACAAATATAAACTGATTTTCATCTGTCTCTGGAGGTTAAGCAAACTCTTATAAAAGTCTTATAATAGGACACAAACAAAGAAGAGTATGAGGCATTGAGGTCACTACAGTTTATATAAACAAATCTAAAAAGTAAAATATGGGTTAAAAAAAATAAACAATAATCAAAGCAAATGTTGTAGTTGTTGTTAATTTGATCAAATTTTCCATCTCTCACATGTGAAAGTATGTATGCTTATTAATAGGGTGATATTTACCAATCCAACATCCACTTCATTGGGTATAAATGGTCAGCTGCTCGTTAACACAAATATCTAATCAGCCAATCCGCTGCACCATTCCCTGATGAATAAATTATCATATTAAAGTAATAAAAACACAAAAAACTTCCAAAGGAAATTTAAAAAAAGTGAGAAGAGCAAATCTAGGCTGCAACATAACTG